CCCCAAAACCCCAAAACCCCAAAACCCCGGTTAACGGGGGTCTGACTGAACCAGAATTTATTAGAAATGGATGGGAGAGTTTAAATGGAGTTATGTTAGCGTGGCGTGTCCGAGGTTGTGACCTTCCAGCAGGGTCTTAAGTGTCTTGTGTGGAACTCCTGTGGAGGAGAAGCTGATGGATTTCAGGATGGTTGAGGCCCAGGGAGAGCGGGAGATCGTAATTATCAGATTTTTGAGGTACTGTGGATAGCTTTTTGATTTGTCTGTATGGTAGGCGCTACATCGAGAGAAAGTTAGAGATTCAAGTGGTCTTTCTGCATCTGATTTTGAGAGATTTGGAACTTCTTCAAGGCTAATAATTGCATCCTTCAAATTCAATTCTCCTGGTAGATTGGCAATGTGAAAATATAATCTCAAACTGAGTTCGCGAGATAATTAAAATTTTAATATAAAACTCATTTGGGACTCTTGGAAGTACTTGCTTCAAGTTATGAAAGTATGGATCCAATTTTGTTATATCAAGAGATAAGTTGAACGAATCTGGGTTGATTAAAACCAAATTTTCAACTTGATTCAAGAACTGACTCCTTAGAAACCGTCTTATCTTATTGTGCTTCTTTTTGCTATAGTAAAGCTCAACTTTATAACAACCTGACAATCTAAACTTCCTAAGCTCTTCCATCAGTTTGAAGGTATTTATTTAGATTGAGTCTGACCCTCATGCCTAAAATATTCTTTTGCTAAGTCCCATTTACTCAATAAAATTTATCTTCAAATTTATCCTCATACAGTCAAGTTTATTTTCCATCTCAAATCTTCATATCCCATTTGTCACATTGCTTTTCTGGTAGAGTCTCTCTGAGCTTCTTTACGCTTGAGCCCAGGGCAAGCCTAATTTGTTTTCCTAAGTCCTGATTAGTGAGTCTGTGGTCTTTCTGTATGGAAGGATCATTTTTGAGAGTGAAGCTTTGTAGGTATGGACTTTGGAGTGATATCTGGAAGGGAGTTGGCATTGGTGAGATTAGTTAGGGTCTGGAGAGTGGCTAGTCTTGGCTCCATCCATTCTATTTAGAATTTGTTAAAGCCAAGGTCGTCCTTAAGAGAAGAGATAGAGTGTTCATTGACTCCTTTGGCCTTCATTTGTGTCAGAATTTGTTAAGAAATTTTTGAAACAAAGGATGATAAATGTGTCATAGTTTGAATTTTAATTATTATTACAGTTACAATTTAAATCAGATATATAGGGGTTTTGGGGTTTTGGGGTTTTGGGGTTTTGGGG